TTTTTTCCTATTCCAAAACAACTTTTGGAAGATGTCTTCAATGCAATTTCAGTTTCCCAGATGCTAAGGAATTGTTCACAGTTTATGAAATGTCAGCCCATCATTTGTTTTCAACTGGAAACATTTGGAAAAATAAAATTTAAAAAAAATTCATCAATTTAAAAATCAGCTATTACTTTTGTTGTTGTTGTTTTGCGACAACTGGCCCCAGCTGGCCTGGAATTCATCATGTAGACCAGGCTGGCCTTCATCTCACAGAAATCCACCTGCCTCTGCCTCCTGAGTGCTGAGAGTAAAGGGGTGTACCACCACACCCAACTAAACTGTTACTTTAAGGCTCAATTTCTTAAAATTTCTGAGTAGGTGGGTAGAGACGGGTAAGAAAATAGGGAGCTGAGGCAATGGAAAAAACAGGAATGCATGAAAACCTTTAAAAATGTTATTTTATGTTGCATTGATTTATTATAAAACCAAAAGAATTCACACTATCCAAAACTGTGATTTCATAAAGTCATTTTCTATTCTGACTCAAATCTCATGGGCTCCTTTATTAAGCTAGATTATGTTTGTTAAGTATACCTCTTCAGGGCACAATCACATACAATCAATACGATTGGTAAATTACACAAGCTCTATCCCAAGCAAATATGCATCAATGTTAAAAAAGTTATTTTTTAAAAACAAACAAAAAAACTAAAATAAAATGCACCCAAAAAGGTGATTATGACTGCCGAATGTCTCGGGGAGACTGGTATGAGCCAAGAGACTAATTGACCATAGTCAGGGAAGAAGGGAGCAGGGTTAACAAGGGAAAGACACCAACACACATGAAGAGGAATCTCACAACTGGAAAATGTTTAGGTGGGTGAAAGGTTTGTTTATTACCTTAGTTCATCTTTTCCATTGTTTGTGGAAGGTTACAGATTCATCACAAAGTTCAAAAAGTCATAAATTTATCATGAAGATACTGAGGTCCATGGCCAGTGAATAAAATGAAAATTTTTTCTTCAAGTTCTTTCACTCCCAGGAGGTGGGAAGAAAAAGAATGAAAGGGGAGATAAGTGAAAATTTAGGCAAAAAATAATATGGAAAAAAAATTCTCCCAGGACTGTATCAGTTAATAGGAAACAAAGTTGAAAAGCAAAAGCTTTAGAGGCCTATAAATCAACTAATAAAATTTTATGAGGTGGTTCAGATATTACTGTGAGAATGTCAGCCAATCAATGGAGAGAGGTTACACTAATAAATGATATATTTATTAAATGAGGCAAGAAAAAAAAATCAGCCAATTATCCACCCAGTATTTGTTTCCATCCATTTTTTCTTCTTCTTTTTTTTTGGCCCATTCATGACTCACTGGAGTGGAGTACCACCTGACAGTTTCCAGTTATAAGATGACTCTGATTGTACAACCCAACATGGATGCCAAAGACTTGTGAGCTCTGTCAACTAAGAGTTAAAAACAAAACAACAAAATCAAATGAAGAGCCAATGAGAAACAGTGAGACCTCAATACAATAAAATAAATCACCTCATCTAGTGTATAATATACATCAGGATAACAAACTCCACAGGACTTCATTTTTCTAAATACATTTTTGACACAGTATTGTCTTAAAGTTTACATTTTTGACCTTGGGTTATAGTGTCATATTTTCTTGTGAAAATAAAGGTTACTCCATGGATTGTTTTACTGAAGGACAAGTTTAGGGGAATTCAGTGTTGTGTGAAAAACCCAGAGGCTCTGAAAGTAAGAATTCCAGTGGTGAGGGAAATCCCTTTATCATGACAGGACTTCCAAGACCCTTTACTCACCTAGTTCAGTGCAGCATTGAAAACCTACCTACTGGGAACATATTATTAAAAGGTGTTACTTATTCCTGGTGTGGGCAATTTATTTTTCTTTATTAACATAATAGCATTACTAATCAATTAGAATCTATTACTTATGAGAGAATGCCTTTAACAATCATATAATCTTAAAAATCCAAATAATGTTATTTCCTATAATTAATAGTACCTTTTGGAAAAAAACAACAAACAGCTTTCTTTGGAGTGGCTCAGAAAAGCTGAATTGAGAACTTAAAAAAAAATATTAACTGCAATTCACTAAAAACTCCCAGCAATCATTTCAGCAGGAAATTTTTATAAAGCTGAGCTGAAGAAACAAATAAACATAAAAGCCGGAGCTGGATGTGGATCAACAAAACAAGCATGCAGGTAAAATGATGACAATAGTGGACTGCTGCTTTGTGATATGTGTTTCAGTGGAGTAGGTCTATCTGACTTATTTTCAGAGGATGAGATCTCCTTGCAACACTATAAACATGCATCAACAAGTAAAAGTTTTAACACACTTGGGCCTTTTATGGGGCAAAATCTAACACTTTAATTAATCTGCACAGGTTAATAATTCTTCCTAAAAACTAATTAGGCCATATCATTTAATAAAATATAAATCATCACAGGTGGCTTTTAACACAAAGATTTTATATGCTGAACTCTTTACTCAATTTTTTAAGTAAAAAAAATTGGGAAGAAAACCGATGAAACTTCTGTCCCTCACCACTTGTACATATAAAGTAACAGCTGCTGAATCCTGTTTAGCAAAAGAATCTATTTTTTTTCTGAATCTGAACATAAGCTGAACAGGAACTAACCATAGTTAATTATTTCTTATAAGCCTTGTGTCAGGAGGATTACTCAATCCCATCCCTGACTTGACCATAGTGAAAGTATGCTGTCTTTTAGGCACAAGTGAAAAGTGCACAAAACACAGGAGACAGACTATTACATCAAGATAATCTAAAAAGGAAAAAGAAAAAAATAGTTGCTTAAACACATTATGGTAAAAGATGATGTTCACTGGTTTAGAGAAACTGATGAATTTTCATTACTTTTACATTTTATAAGGCCAGCTAACTTTACAGTTAACTTTAGACATCTACACAATACAATGAACTTACACATACTACAGGGTTTCATAATCAAAATAGCTACTACTTCCCCTAAAATCAAAACAGAGTAAAGCACAAGTCTTTGGCTCTCCTTTAAAGAAAACAGCAGGTTACCATTCTTTACCAGACCTTTGTTTGCCTGCCAGTAGGGCAAATACCACATTTGTGCATCACTGAGTAATAACACCATTAGAAAAGGCAACTTCACAGAAGTTATTGGCTAAGCGAATTCATTTGAATGCTCTGTTTTGAGGCAGCAAACTGTCACTGTTACAGATTGGGTAAGTCAAGGGGAAACTGCAGACTGGAAAAGGGTCAGAAAAAAAAAAAAAAAAAAACAATCATGGGAAAACAGGAAATAAATTTTAAGCTCCAATACTGAAGCTCATGGAAAGTCTGATGGAATTATGTACTCAAAGTAGCAAATGAAAATTATGCCAATTTTCTGCCTTTTAGGCAAAAGAATAAATACATGGAAAAGAACAAAAGAGAAGGGAAGGGAGATGAGAGAAGGGAACCACCCCATTAATGCTGTACCAAACAAACTTTTACACATTCTGAGGAGTTGAATATTTGTAACTGACGTAAGAATAATAGTGTCTCGTCATCTGAGTCTTCCTACTAGAAACCTCTTCTACAACTTCCTTTTTATTAGAAAAGTAGTAGGAAATCGGGCATGGTGGCGCACGCCTTTGATCCCAGCACTCGGGAGGCAGAGGCAGGCGGATCTTTGTGAGTTCAAGTCCAGCCTGGTCTACATAGCGAGTTCCAGGACAGCTGGGGCTACAAGGAGACCCTGTCTCAAAAAAAAAAAAAGTAGTAAGAAATGGCTCTTTGGTCACATTGGGCTCTATAAATCATCCAGGAGAGGGTAGCTATTAGATTTATCTTGTGACTATAAATTAGGCAAAAGAACTCCATACAAGATGGGAAAGGGAGTCTAGCTGTCTCATTCTTAGTTCTTTCATTTTTCAGAGACTCACTGAAAACAGAATAAGCCAAAGTACTTTTATATTCACTACAATCCTGGCTTTGTTATAAACAAGTATAAACACAAAGCTCCTTAATCCTGTCTTAACCCTTCCAGGATTGTTTGTGTTCATCTGAGATGACTGTTTTTGAATTCAGTGAAAAGCAAAGCAAAGTCATCCTCAAATCCCAGTACTCAGGAGGCTGAAGCAGAATGATCTTGAGTTCAAAGCCAGCCTGGGCTACACATAAGACTGTATCTCAATTTGAAAAATTGGGACTAAGCAAAGATGGAGTGCTCTGCACAAAAAGGGGAAACTAATCAACTTCCAACATGAGGTTGCATTTCAACTAATAGAAAATGAAGGATTAAATGTATTCAAAAAATGTTTTCGAATAATGGGAAACTAATGTGTATCTGAAGAGCATAGTAGCCACCTTCAATATCTGTAGTAGGGGTGAGTCATTACACTGGAAAAAATTACTATTAAATCTTGTGAGTCTGTATTAAAAGACAAGATTAAAAAAAAAAAAAAAAAGGTGTGTGTGTGTGTTGTGTAAAAGCTCTATTTTCCTACCTGACTGAATTCTTTTCTTAATGTCACCAAAGGTACAAATAAAAACCAATGTTTTTTAGATTTTGACAAAAATAGTAGTCATGAAGTTATGAGTCAATTTATTGGCTCCTCATAACACAAAGTTTGTTAAAGGGAGAAAATAACTTGAACTTTTGGGATTATTTTATTCCTAAACCTGGTACTGAGCTCTAGGAAAAAAAGCTTAAGAATTAGGTAAGGCAAAATGTCCAGTCATTAAATAGCTAAATTACAGGCACAATGGGGCAGTAGGAAACCATTTTTCTGCTAAGTCATCCAGACTGTCTACAGAATGGGGCCTTGGAGAGGTACACAACTAGCATTTGGGCTATCATTTAAGAGACTAATTATTTCGCAAAATGAAAATATATGTAAAAGGATCCTAGTACGTTAACAACAGGATGTGAGCTATTAAGAGTTTTTCACACTATCTACAATGGAAGTTTACTTTTATTCTGTCATTCTGTTATACGACTTAAGAAATTAACGATCTGTCCAAAGTAGGTAAGATCTGCCCAAATCTGCCTACAGTAGGCTCAAGGCCAATGTCACATTTTATAGATGTGCAGAGAAATGAAAATTCTGTCAGACAGAACAAAAGTTTTTTTCCTTCTCTCAATAAATAATATTTAAAGTGTAAATATAAGAGGATTTTTATCTTTAAAAAAGGCCAAAAAAGGAAATGTATGTGTATTTAAAATTAAAAGGAAAATGAGGAAAATGTATGCATCAACTGAAAAATGCCTCACCTTCATTCAGTGCTTCTACCTCCCAATCAGTCTTTTCATTGCAACAGCTGCGCTCATGCGAAGAAATCTTTAAAACATACCCGATATATATACAGATATAGCTATGTATATATGTATATATATATAATATATATAAATTTTTATTTAAATAAAAAAGAAAGCTCGAATCCCAAGCCAATATGTGTATATCAAATCCTTGACCAGCCAGGTCTGTAGGGCATAATCAAATTCAATGTGAAATAGTATATAAACACGGTGCCTTGACTGGGCAAATTAAATAATTGCTACTCAAATGAGTGTTCTGTTTGGACTTCCTACTGGTAGGCAATGGCAGGACTATATTACCCTCCCCCCCTCCCCCGCTTTGTTTCAATTATTAATACGATGGACACAGAGCTTAGACTGAGGTTGTTCTGACCTCAGCAGGAGTTAAAAGTCAAGAATATAAGAAATAAGAAAAATATAAACTTTGCTTTTACCCAACCAAAGCAATGCAGTAACTTATTACATAACCAGTGCTTTCTCATTTAGTAGTATTATCTAGAAAGGGAGACAATGTCAGGCAGAGGAATGGAGCAATTATATGAAATAATCCCCACTAAACTCATTTTACAGGGACTTAGTTAATTAAGTATAGAGTTGTAGCATTAGAATAGTGCAGCAGAACTTAAAAAAAAAAATCCTTACTCTTCAATGTTTCCATAAAGAAACTTTTTTAATGCCAGAAAGCTGTCTATAAAAACTAACTTCAAGTTGTTTGTAGTTATACTGATATTTCTAAATAGCAACATGTGATCAATCCATAAACTATTCTTAAGACTCATGTAGTTTGTATCTGCCAAATCTCTTTTATGCTCTTGAAAGTAAAACAAAAATATCTACCTAAATAACATGTTTCTATTCAAGTTCCAATTGTTAGTTTTAAAAGGTAGTTCATTGTCCTGGTTTTTAGGCATTCTAGGATTTCACCAAAAGTTTAATTTGTAAGCACAGCTCCAAATTTCAACCATGAGCTCAACACAGGCCTTTTCTTTCTTTTTTCTTTCTGAGACAAGGTCTCATTACTTAACAGCCCAGGATGGCCTCAAACTCAAGGTAGTTCTCCTGCCTCAACCTCCTGAGTCATGGGGATTACAGGCATGAACCACAATGCCCAGCTTTCTTTCATTCTTAATCTTTACTTAAATCTAAGTAAACAATGTAAACACAAAAATGGCTTTCATATTACATGAAGAGAATGAAAAGAATCCTTACCATGGAGATGTGTAACTAAAAAATTTCTGTTAAATATCTTTCTGAAAAGTTGAAACTAAAGCCCTATCCTACTCAAAGTTTTAATGTCACATGAAAAAAGAATCTAACCACGAAGCTAGTGATCCAGAAAGGGGGAAAATGTAAACAAGAACACTAATAAAATTTAGTTTGCTGCACAGTTTCTAATAACTCAATCTATTACCACAGAAATCTTGAAAACAGCATTTTTTGTCTGTCTTAGTTTATAGGGTTGAGAGAGTTGGAAAGGATTGGAAGAAAGGAATTATACACTGGGTATGTAATAATACCAAAATACAAGAAAAACCTACTTCATTAAGATCATACAATTAATCAAACAGAGTGTATATATAATATCTTCTTTTTTAAAGCCCTGGATCCAAGGCGTCCAAAGTTATTAAAATAAAGTTCATTCACAGAACAAAAACAAATTTAATCTGAATTGCTTGCAGATACTGCTAATTTTCTTTTTCTTTAAATTAAAAAATGTATTAATGTGAACTATGTGCAGGGTTTATTTAGTAGTGGTGTTTGTGCACATTGCCTCCGGCGCTTTTCCTGGATTTTGTTGACCACTCAGAGAAAAAGTTTAGAAGTTATCCATTCTTCTACCCTGATGCCCCACAAATTGATTAGGGGCAGAAGTTAGAAGCAGTACTCCCATGTTTTAGGGAGCAGAACTGGAAGTAACTCCTGATCTCTGGGAGTCATTGTTATCTCCTCCTCCCTCAGGGTCTTCTGATAGGTTCAAAGAGCTGGTCTTGTTTGACAGGAGGCTGATATTCTCTTGTGTCAAAGCTGATCCATTCGGTACATCACTGTTAGTATATAGATATATAAAAAAAAATAGTTTAATTTTTTTTTTTTTTAGGAGAAATGTAATTACTCAGATTCATATCAACATTTAGTACCATAGCAAAATGGTGCTAGCCTGGTCTACATAGCGAGTTCCAGGCCAGCTGGGGCTAGGGCTACAGGAAGACTGTGTCTCAAAACAAACGAACAAAAACCAAAATATATGAACAGCTTCCAATTTTAATTTTTAGCTCCTTGTCCACATTTCACCATATAGTTGTCAAACTAAAACCAGCAGGTTTCCTGTAGCTTCCTGTTTTGTTTTGTTTGTTTTTAAATATTTTATTATTTTTATTTTACTTGTATGAGTGTATTGCCTGCACATAGGGGTAAGTGCACTTGTGTCGTGTACTGCCCACGGAGAACAGAAGAGGCTGTCGGATCCCCTGAAACTGGAGTTACGGACAGTTGTTAGGTGCCATGTGGATGCTGTGATTCAAACCCGGGTCTTATGCAAGAACAACCAGTGTTCTTAACCCCTGAGCCATCTCTCCAGCCCTGTAGCTTCCTGTTTTATAAAGTTTTTGTTGAAACACAATCTGCTATTTATGTATTAACTATTGCTGATCACCCATTCATAGGGCAGCGTTAAGAATTATAACAAAGGGGGCTGGAGAGACGGTTAAGAGCACTGACTGGTCTTGCAGAGGACCCGAGTTCTACTTCCAGCACCCACATGGCGGCTATGAACCGTCTTTAACTCCAGTTCCAGGGGAATCCGAAGCCCTCTTCTGACCTCCGAGGCATTGCATGACATGGGTGCGCTCACATACATGCAGGCAATACACTCATAAACATAAA